CTTGCAATTTTCTGAGCAGGTCACTGGGGTGCACATGTGTTCCTACCTTCACAGACATTCCTAGCAGCAACCCTGTGTGGGAGACAGCAGTGGGCCGCGTCTAGGCTGCAGGAGGTGAGGGGATTTGCAGACTAGCTGTGAGCCCCTGGGGGAGGGGGTGTGGATGCTGGTGAAGGCCTGGCCGTTTCTGACCCAAAGTATCTGTGATACAAATGGCATGTTTGGATATATTAGCAAGAATTGAAAAATTACATTTAAAACTATTCTAGATATAAGACAAGCATGTTAAATATCAGTTAATATTGAGATTAATTATTAATGCAAATTAAAAACCTAAAATAGCTGATATAGTTTGGATTTTAGTGAATATTATAACAACCAGGTTCAGCCTTGCCCTGTCTTGTTTGGGGACTCAGGTGAAGCAGAGACACGGCCCCTCCCCAGTGCTGGCTCTCTGCTCCACTGTCCCCTTCGCTTGCAGGTCTGTGCTCAGGACCCTCCGACCCACAACCAGCACAGGGGTGAATAGGGTGTAAGGTGCCTGTGAGTGAACTGAAGACTCAGGGTTGGTGTTTGTTCATCTTTTCATTCATTGATGATGATTCACATAGAGAAATTTACCTTCTGCATGTCTACATTTTTATGAAGTTGGCGAGATACAAAGCTTTCTCTCAGAGTTTTTCCACATTACTGACATCTGAGGCTAATTTCCTTTTGTGGGAGCTGCCGTGTGCAGTGTGGGATGCACGGCCACATTGAAGGACTCTGCCCACTAGGTAACTGGTAGCCTGCAGCCCACCCCACGTGACAGCCCAACCTGTTTCCAGACATTTCCATGTGTCCCCTGGGGGACAGAATGACTCCAGTGTCACACAGACATCAATTCCCAAATATACAACATTCCTCGTGCTATTCTAGGGAAAGGCACTTCAGGAAACAGGACTGGGGACCCTGTTGAGGATGAAATGCCTGGAAATACATTGAGGGTGGAGGGCAGACTCGAGGC